TATGTTACAGGATTGGCATGTGAACGCACATTGCACTTTTTCGTGCGTTCACAAAACTGCACAAATGTACTGCTTGGCATAGATTTCCAGAACAGGTGTTGCAAGGCAGAACCAGGCAGGACTATCGCCTCGGAATAGCGTGTGTCAGAACTCAATGTCGGAAGCCGCGGGCTAATGGTAAATCAAATACTACTATATTTCTATAGTATATTTATAAAGTATCTCTAAGGTTAAAGTACAGCAGATGTGTCGATTTTCTTTTAGTACCTATGTTGAGATCTTTCTTCTTCGAGTTTTTCCTCTTCCCACAATTTTTGTTTTTGTGTATGTGCACTTGCACGAGGTGTGAAGTTCATTTTTTACTAAAATAATGTATTTTTACGATAACCGAGTTGTGTGCGGCTGGCAAGAGCAAGAGGGCGCGGGAGAGTCAAAGTAAGAGTTTGGAGATACAGCTAAGATTAAGATTTTTTTTTCAAAAGGCAACAAAAATGAATTTCAAAATTACAGGCCAATTTCTCTTTTGTCGGTGTTTTCAAAAATATTAGAGAGACTTGTTTACATACGAACGGAAACATTTCTTTGTAAACATGACGCGTCGAAAATCAAAATCTACGGAGACATGTTTTCTTTTCTTGAAAATGTCGCCTCATTCATGGATCAAAACGAAGCACATCTTGGAATATTTTTAGATCTTTCAAAAGCTTTTGACGTCATTGACCATAACATTTTTCTTTCAAAATTACCTTCGTATGGAGTTCGTGATATTGCTCTAAATTGGTTATGTTCATACCTTAAACATCAGTCTCAAAGAGTAGAAATACTCCACTGGAATAGTGGAACATTATGAGCACACCTTTCTGATTCTTTGCCAATTTGAGTCCCGCAGGGATCGATTTTAAGCCCTGTTCTCTTCCTACTGAATGTAAGCGATATGCCCTCGACAATTAGAAACGGAAGAACAGTTCTCTTTGCGGATTATACGAATATTCTCTGCCGTAAATAAACCGTAAATAGTACAATATCAGATATTTTTAATTGGTTCCGTAATAAAACATTAATAGTAAATGAAAATAAAACTGTTTCAATGCAGTTTTCCATTTCAAATGAACAGCTCTGCACTACACCGAAAATGAACGTTGTGCCATTGATTGATGTTAAGGTAACAAATGTAAGGTCTTTCAATTCAGTCAAACATTAAATGGAACGTCCATTTAAATGAAATGGACACTGAATTAATTTCTTTATGCTACGCTTTCAGAATTCTTTCAAATTCAGTCACCCTTCATATTGCTCGTTGTGTATATTTCGTGAATGTTCATTCCCGCCTAAGATATGGCATAATACTCTGAGGAAATACATCTTATAACTCCGAGACTTTTAGATTGCAAAAACGAATTGTACGAATAATAAGCAAATCCACAGCCACGTGATTCTTGTAAGCCTATCTTTATTAATCTAGGCATTTTACCATTACCTTATCTCTTAATATATGAATCAGTGGTTTCTGTCAAAAATGACTTACTTAAGGGCGGGAATGTATTTTAGAGCAAACGCCGTTGTCTAGAACTACAAGATTCGACGTAGTAATCATATTCATCACGTCACAGTATCAACAGCTCACTACAAAAAATTCACGTATAATACATGTACATTATTTTACAACACCTTGCCAGGTAACATTAAATGATTAAATTCGATGCAAAAGTTTAAGTCCCAAGTAAAATATTTTCTGCTGCACAACTGTTTCTATACAATTAGAGACGATACCGAACATGCAGAAAGAAAGAAATATTAATTTTAACAATGAAATTTAATGTATTATTTAATATTTGGATTGTATAATTCCAAAGAATCTGTAACATGTATTGTACTTCAACTTCTGGGTAATGACTCCCTTCTCGATCTGGTTTTCGTCCAGTTTCCCTGGTACTTGAGAAAATGTTGGGATAGCCCCCTGTTTTGCTTCTAGACATACATGTAACTTGAAATTAACTTTCCCCCATAGAACGTCACACACAGTTTTTAACTGTTTTTGACGTAAATAAATAAATAAATAAATAAATAAATAGATTTCCTATTTCCTTTCCAGAAATCGCAAAAGTATAATTATAGCACGCTCGGTACAAAGACGATAAAAGTGGATTTTTGATTCGAAGCAAGGAAAGAGATTATTATTTGAGGTCTACAGGTCATTTAGGGGTCGTCCATAAATTACGTAACGCTGGGGGAGGGGGAGGCGGTTTGAGGCAACGTTGCGCTGCCTTGCATAGGGGCAGGGGGATATTCGATGAGTGTTACGTAACATTGAAATATATTTTACATTTTTTAACATTTGTTGAAATACTTCCTTTCTTGAGTCTTATGCTAAAACATTAAAATACGTGTTAGCGAATTGTTTTAAAACATCAATAATTGAAAGTTATTAGAAGTTGTTACAATAAATGTAAATATGTTTTCGTCAATTTCGTTTTGAATCGTGAACATTGCGAAGAAAGTATCCAAAACTGATCTCTTGTATTTTGTAGAATACAATTAAATTGGCGCAGTAGATTCTTGCCCGTGCGCCATCCAAAACGGCGGCATTCGCACGGCTTTCATCTCCTGTGCGTCCTTCCTTCACTCAAAATTTACCCCCAATCTAATTGTTAGGTGCAGACAGCATTGACAACTAATTCCGACATTAATTATCATAAACTTTAATACACAACACATAAATGATTACAATTATTTACTGAGCTACACTTTATTATCACTTCTTGCTTTTATAAGGAGGGGCTGTTGCAAACGTTACGTAATTATTTAGCGGAATTCAATCGCGCGTTGAGGGTTCGTTACAAGGGAGAGAGGGGATCCAAAATGCTCCAAATTTGCGTTTCGTAATTTATGGATGGCACTTTATTAAAGGTACTACCATTGATCAAGACCACATATTCTTCCAAGGGATTATCATCTTCAGAAATCGCATTCAAATGTATTATCATTTTCCTGTTATTTTCCATACAAACAAATATTTATCTTCTACATTTTTACAATAATATAAACAACGTACTAAAAATAAACTTTCGGCTTCACTTTCACAATAAAAAAGCTGTCATTTAGGTGATTTGCCCAACAGAACGTGTTGAACCAACCTAAATTAACGTGTATAAGCCAAAGAATTTGTGGACCTTCAAGTCATTGTGTTAAAGTTTACATCAAATATTTCGTAGCTCATCAAATAATCTGTTCACTTCTAGCATCAAGGTTATCAAATCATATATGAAATAAAATTATTAATTCAAAACCTTTAGTATTATATTTAATGAACACGAGTTTAAGTATGATAATTAATTATTATTGTAATTCGGTTGCTCTGCCTGAAGTTCTTTCGTGTTGGAATTATTGTCGTTACTTTGAACAATATTGTTGTTCATACCTGCACAGTCAGAGATGAGGCATTTGGTCATCGATAGATGTGCTGATGACGAAACAAAATTATAAAACAAATGAATTTTCAATATTTTAGAGAAGAATTGAATATTAGGAAACAACCTACAGATATTAATGGTAACAATAAAAGAGCTGCGAAATAGCTGTGAAACCACGAAAAGCTCTTAAAAGATTCGCCAATCGAATTGAGAGCTCGCTGCCGCTCATAGTAACTAGTCTGCCCGCTTCGGCGCAGCGATAAGCTCTCCAGTCATTGCTGTTTCCGTGGAATCTCGCCCATGTGCGGTAAATCGCGACCATCGGTCATTGAGAAACTTGATGAACTTGCGAGGAAAATGATATATTGTGTTGATTGAGTGCCTTTACTGTGTTTGTTAGTGTTTTGAGATTTTTGGTTAGCGTGACAGGTAAAAACTTACAATATTTGAGGATTGAAGAATGATTATAAGAGTATTACAGAAGAGTGAGCTGCCCTACAGGCCGCTCTGAACTCCAGGAATACAATATCTGCAATACGTAGCTCGGCGGTGCCTGAAGCCGAGTACATAATAGAACTAGTGGACTGGATTGGGTAAGAAATTCGAAACGGATCGAAAAAACAGAAAACTGCTCACAATGCATCATGTCGCGCACCATCGAGCTGATGTACATAGACTTTATGTGGCAAGGAAGGAGGAAGAGGCCTCAGACAAATTGAAGCCTCCTGGCATACTGCAATTGACGGGATGGGAAAGTACGTAGTCAGTCATGGAGAATGAGAAACAGAGGCATTGTTAGTGTAGCAAGAAGCATTGCGAAGAAAAGAACGCAAGACATGCAGAAAAACACAGACAATGAACTTCTGATACTACTTAACATGAAATGCAAGACGCCCAAAAAATGTGAAAGAAATCGTGGAGAGACAAACCATTTTATGGACAGTATCTAAAAAGAATAGACAAGGTGCAGATCAATAAACGTAAATCATTTGTGTGGCTTAAAAGGGGAAGAATGAAGCCAGAATCAGAAGCAGCTGTAAAAGTAGCCTAAGTGCTAACATTGAGAACACGACATTAAGATCAGCCGTTTTCAAAATCTCCCAAGATGATAAATGCCGTTTTTGCCAGGAGCGAGTAGAGACCGTTGATTACATCGGCTCAAAATATGTGCTATTTTTTTGGCTTGTCTCTCACGTCGTTAATATTTACATTAGCGGTGATTTGTTCACATTATTGCATTTATGAAAACATGTGTTTGCATGATGTCTTATAAAGTTTTCTGTAAAAATGAGCTGAAAATTCCGCGTTTTCAGAAACGCTAAAACGCCATTTTTCACAAACGGCTCCAAAAAAGGTTTACCATGCCTCGTCCCCCGCTTTTCCTCGGTAACGTAACCCTTTGAGTACAGCTCCTGGGGTGTGGGCTCAAGGGGTGCAATGTGTCA